ATAGTGGTGTGATCTCAGCTCCCTGCAACCTCCGGCTCCCAGGTTCAAGTGGTTCTCCTGCCTCAGCCCCCCTAGTAGCTGGGATTACAGGCGCCTGCCACCACACCAGGCTAATTTTGTATTTTTAGTAGAGATGGGGTCTCACCATGTTGGTCAGTCTGGTCTCGAACTCCTGACCCCACATGATCCACCGGCCTTGGCCTCCCAAAGTGCTGGGATTACAGGCATGAGCCAACATGCCTGGTGACCAAGATAATTTTTATTAGAGATGAGGTTTCACCATGTTGGCCAGGCTCGTCTCAAACTCGCGATCTCAGGTGATCTGCCCCGGTCTCCCAAAGTGCTGGGATTACTGGCATGAGCCACCGAAACTAGCCACAGAAGTTGTTTTTCAAAGTGAAGAACCCCACAGTGTCACACAGATAAGATCATGTATTGGGGCCGTTATCTGTCTTTCATGGTGTCACAGCCTCGAGATTTTTAACATATGATGATAAAACCATTTTTATCTGTGCTTTCATTTTTCCAACAGCTTCTGGTTATGTTTGGAATAAAATGCTAAATCCCCCCGTTCCCAGTGTCCTGTGCCTACACGCACTTCCCACTCCCCATCTCCCTCTCTGTGCTCCCACCACACCAGCCTCTTCCTGCTGTCCTTTCTTCAAAACATGCTAAACACATTCTCCATGCAGGGTCCCTGCCCATGCTGTTCCCTCTGCCTGGAAGGTCCAGTGAGTTACTTAGGATAAAACTCTCAGTCCAAAAGTGACCTCCTGGCCAGGCATGGTGGCCTGCACCTGTAATCCCAGCACTTTGGGAGGCCAAGGAGGGCAGATCACCTGAGGTCAGGAGTTCAGGACCAGCCCGACCAGCATGATGAAACCACTCTACTAAAAATGCAAAAACTGGGGCTGGGTGCGGTGGCTCCCACCTGCAATCCCAACACTTTGGGAGGCTGAGGTGGGTGGATCAACTGAAGTCAGGAGTTCAAGACCAGCCTGGTCAACATGGCAAAAACCCATCTCTACTAAAAATACAAAAAACTAGCCAGGCACGGTGGCAGGCGCCTGTAATCCCAGCTACTTGGGAGGCTGAGGCAGAAGAATCGCGTTAACAACCTGGGAGGTGGAGGTTGCAGTGAGCGGAGATTGTTCCAGTGCACTCCAGCCTGGGTGACAGGGCGAGAGTCCCTCTCCCCCACAAAAAATGCTTTTGGTGAAAAGCCAGCCCACAAAGTTAGGAAATGCAAAGAAATTGTCCACAATATATAATGACTTTTACAAATCAATTTTTAAAAGACTAGACAGATAATAAAAACATACACCTCACCAAAGACCAAATTCCAATGGTCAATGAACATACAAAAAGGTGCTTAACCTCGGTGAGTCATCAGGGAAATGCAATTAAAGCCACCTTAAGATCCAGGAACACATATACTAAAGTGACTCTGGTGGGGATGTGGAGCCACCGGGAACTCTTGCCCACATGCCGGTGGGACACAAAATGGTGCAGCTACTTTGGGAGTAGTTTGGTAATTTCTCTGAAGTAAACAAACGTACACCTACTCTATGACCGAACAACGCCGCTGCTAGGAATCCACCTCAGAGAAGTGTGTCCATACTTAGACCTAGATGCAAGCTTCATAACAGCCTTATTCATAAATCAAAATAGAAACAACCCAAATATTCATCAACAGAGGATGGGATAAACCAGTTGTGGGACATGAAGACATCGTGCAGAATCTATTCAGTACTGAAAAAAACAAAAAAACAAAACAAACCAAAAAAAAAAAAAAAAAAAAACAACCAGGCCGGTGCAGTGACTCACGCCTGTAATCCCAGCACTTTGGGAGGCCGAGGTAGGGGGATCATTTGAGCCCAGGAGTTCAAGACCAGCCTGGGCAACATGGCGAAACCCCATCTCTACAAAAAATACGAAAATTGGCTGGGTGTCGTGCTGCATGCCTGTGGTCCCAGCTACTCAGGAGGCTGAGGTTGGAGCAAGACCCTGTCTCAAAAAAAAAAAAAAAAAACCAACCGAGAAACTATTGACACACATGATCAATGTGATCAGTCTCTAAAATATTCTTATGCTGGGCAAAAGGGGCCAGAAATAAAAGGCAACCTATTTATTAGCAAGGAGTGGTGGCACGTGACTGTGATCCCAGCTACTCGGGGTTAGGTTGCCTTTCGTTTTATTTATTTTGAGGCAGGGTTTCTGTTAACCGGGCTGGAGTGCAGTGGCCTGATCTTGGCTCATTGCAGCCTCAACCTACCCTCTCAGGTTCTCTTTTCTGTGGTTTTTGTTTGTTTGTTTTTAAGTAGAGATGGGGTTTTGTCATGTTGGCCAAGCTGGCCTCAAACTCCTGACCTCAGGGGATCCACCCACCTAGGCCTTCCAAAGTGCTGGGATTACAGGCGTGAGCTACTGCCTGTAGTGCATCTAGGTCTAAGTATGGACACACGTCCTTTCATTTCTCTCCGGTGGATTCCTACAGTGGGGTTGCTCGATCATAGAGTAGGTGCATGTTTACTTGAGAGAAACTGCCAAACTTCTCCCAAAGCAGCTGCACGAGGCATGAAGATAACCTGAGGCTGGGAGGTCGAGGCTACAATGAGCCATGATTGTGCCACTGCACTCCAGCCTAGGTGACAGAGACCCTGTCTCAAAATAAATAAAACAAAAGGCAACCTACTGTGTGATTCCATTCACATGACATTCAAGAACAGAGAAATCTAACCTGTGGTGATAAGAGGCGGTGTGTATGAGAGTGCAGGGTCCTGGCATGGGGGAAGCAGGAGGGAGCCCTCTGGGGTGCTGGTCACTTGCGTTGCACACACACGGAAACAGCTTCAGATGTGTTTCACATACTTCACACACTTCCAGGTCTGCATGTTACACCACAGTGAAGTTTGAAAAGGTTACTTCAAAGGATTCTTGGATGACTCTCCCAAACCACAGGGACCCCTCAGTTATCCTCCCGAAGACCCCACTGCTTTACCTTTAAAATACAATACCATTTTAAATTCCATGTTCATTAGTGGGTTTATTTCCTCAACAGACTCCACTAGAACGCCTACTCCCCCAACCTAGCATGTGCCTAGCACGTAGTAGGTGCTCCGTAAGTATGTGGCGAATGAATAATAGAGACCGTAGATTTCCTCCACTCCCATCGTGAGCCCCTCAGGACCAGGATCACATCGGTTTTGCTCATGCTCTAGAATAAGGCCCTAGCACGTAACAGGATCCCAAAGAGAGAGCAATTAGATGAAAGCTGTATGGTCCTGTCACGCATATCTAAGTCAAAGATGGAGCCTGGCAGGTGAATAGAAGTAGAACAAAACAGTGACCCTTGAGCCTCAACAGCTGAAGGGGAATTAGTGGGAATTAGGCCAGCTGTGAAGAAAAAGGACTTTTTTTTTAGACAGGGTCTTGCACAGTTGCCCAGGCTGAAGTGCAGTGGTGCAATCTTGGCTCATTGCAGCCTTGAGCTCTTGGGCTCCAGCGATCCTCCCACCAGAGCCTCCAGGGTAGCTGGGACCACAGGCGTATGCCACCATGCCCAGCTAATTTTCTTATTTTTTGTAGCAATGGGGTTTTGCCAAAGGACAAATTCTTTTAAACTTGAAAGAAAACAAGACATCACCAAAGCACAGGAGGTGCAAAGAAATTCTCCGATGGGTTTGAGCCCTCTAGAAATAAAACACCCATCTGTCAATGCCAGTCTGAGTCAGGGTTTTCAAGGATCTCAGACTGACCTGCTACCACATCCAATGTGAAGCCAAAAAGCTGTCCCTGGACATTGTACAAAATCCTTGACTGGTACTCCTCACAACTGCCCAGGCCATCAACAACAGAGGGTTGGACACTGTCACAGCCAAGAGGTGCCTATGGAGACGTAACAACTAAACCTCATGTGGTATCCTGGGGGGGCGAGCGGAATAGAAAAAGGACATTAGAGGAAACTAGCAAACCAAAGGAACAGTGGTGTTTAGCGAATAGTAATATGCCAGTGCTGGTTCCTTAGCTACAACCAATGTACAGAGCAGCATCAGATGCGAACCTTTGGTGAACCTGGGTACCATGTGTAAAGGAACACGACCATCTTTGTAACTTTCCCATACGTCTGAAATTCTTTTTTTTTTTTTTGAGACGGAGCCTCGCTTTGTCACCAAGGCTGGAATACAGTGGTGTGATCTTGGCTCACTGTAACCTCCACCTCCCAGGTTCAAGCGAGTCTCCTGTCTCAGCCTCCCAAGTAGCTGGGATTACAGGCGTCTACCACCATGCCCAGCCTAACTTTTTATATATTCAGTAGAGAGGGGGTTTCACCAGGTTGGCCAGACTGGTCTCGAACCCCCTGGCCTCAAGTGATCTGCCCACCTTGGCCTCCCAAAGTGTTGGGATGACAGGCATGAGCCACTGCACTGGGCTTGTAAATCTAAAATTCTAAAATAAAAAGTTCTCCTTTTATTTATTTGTTTAGAGTCAGGGTCTTACCCCGTCGCCCAGACTGGAGTGTGGTGGCATGATCACGACTCACTGCAGCCTCCACCTCCCGGGTTCAAGTCATCTTCCCTCTCACCTTACAAGCCTAGGACCACAAGCACGTGCCACCACGCCTGGCTAAGTTTTTACAGAAACAGGGTCTACATAAAGCAAGTTCTTAATGACTTACAAAGAGGCTTAGACATTAAAAAAAAAAAAGAAAGAAAGAAAGAAAGAAAGAAAGAAAGAAAGAAAGAAAGAAAGAAAGAAAGAAATAGGATATAAGTTGCTCAAGTTGGTCCCAAAGCCCTGGGCTCAAGCGATCCTCCTGCCTCAGCCTCCCAAAGTGCTGGGATTACAGGCATGAGCCACTGTGCTCGGCCTAAAAGGGCCTAGCTCCCTTTGGGCACTCTGTGGCCACCAGCTGGAAAGCCATCACCCCTCCCCGGCCCGCATTCTCCGCAGGGTGAAGGCGAAGGGCGCCGTGCAGTGCGCAGCCCCACGGGGCCTACCTTGGGTGGATCAAAGAGCTCCAGCACGCGGTCGGGGCCGTCGGGGCCCGGGGCCCGGCGCAGCGCCAGCCTCCCGCGCTGCCAGCGCGCCCCGCTGTCCATGGAGGCCTCGTCGGCCAGGCTGTAGCGTAGGGCAGCCTCCTTCAGCGCCTCGGGCGGCGGCTCCCGGGCCAGGCTCCAGGGCAGGAGCTTCTTGGCCAGGCCAGGCCGGGTGGGGGTCTCGGCAGCCTCTGCGGGGGTCCCGGGGGCGGCGGCGTTGTGGGCCGCGGGCAGCTCCCCCGCCGAGCGGCGGCGGAAGATGTGACAGAGGCTGCGTCGAAAGTGCTGGAAGGTGCAGGGCCCGGGCGGCCGCGGCGGGGCCAGCTCCTCAGAGCTGCGGGCCTTGGGCAGGCCGGGGGCGGCGGGGCCAGGGCCCGGCTCCGGGGGCGCCTCGGCCTTGGCGGGGGGCCTGTGGCCTGTGTCCCGGTAGTCGCGGCCCGGCGCGCGGCCGTCGCGCACCTCGCGGCAGAAGTAGCGCTGGAAGAGGTCGGTGAACTGCAGCGACACCAGCTCGGCACGCAGCGGCGCATGCTGCGGGTGCTCCCGGGCGAACAGCCAGTACTGGCGGGCCAGCTCCCGGGCCGCGGCCACGGCATGCAGCTCGCAGAACTCGCTCCAGCCCCGCGGGGCCGCTGTCGGGGAGGCCGAGGGCGCGGAGGAAGCCGAGGAGGGCTGCAGGGCAGGCCCGTTCATGGCGGAGACCCAGGTGGTGCGGGTGGGCTGAAAGACACAGGGGGGTGGGGGGCGACATGAAGTGAGCCGGTGGGCAAGCGGGTGACGGCGCACCGCAGGAGGAATCCAACACGACCGTAACACCCAGCGCGGGTGACGATGCGGGGAAACGCGCACTCCCGTATGGGGGGGGAAGGGGGCATTCTGTAAGGGACACGGCCAGTTTGGCAGAACTGATTCTAGACTCTGGAATCCTGCTTTTGAAGGACAAAAACCGTACGATCATCTCGACAGATGCAGAGAGAGTATCTGACAAAATTCAACATACCTTTAATGATAAAAACTTTCAACAAATTAAGCACAGATGGTATGTTGTACCTCAACACACCGAAGGCCCTATGTAAAGGCTGGGCTTGGAGGCTCAGGCCTGTAATCCCAGCACTTTGGTAGGCTGAGGCCAGAGGATTGTTTGAGCCAGCCTGGGCAACATGGTGAAAGCCCATCTCTCAAAAAACAAAAACAGAATTCAGTTGGCATTGTAGTACGCACACTGTAGTCCTAACTACTTAGGAGGCTGAGGTGGGAGGATTGCCTGAGCCTGAGGAAGTCAAGGCTGCAGTAAGCCATGATCAGCCATTGAACTCTAGCCCAGGCAACAGAGTGAGGCCCTGTCTCAAAAAAATAAAATTGCCGGGCGCAGTGCCTCACACCTGTAATCCCAGCACTTTGGGAGGCCGAGGCGGGTGGATCACAAGGTCAAGAGATCGAGACCATCCTGGTCAACATGGTGAAACCCCGTCTCTACTAAAAATACAAAAAATTAGCTGGGCATGGTTGTGTGTGCCTGTAATCCCAGCTACTCAGGAGGCTGAGGCAGGAGAATTGCCTGAACCCAGGAGGCGGAGGTTGCGGTGAGCCGAGATTGCACCATTGCACTCCAGCCTGGGTAACAAGAGTGAAACTCTGTCTCAAAAAAAAAAAAAAAAAAAAAGAAGGCTGTTACTACTTATCTCTAGCAGGGATACCTAAGAACACAGATTCTGGAGCATGGGTTCAAATCCCAGCACCAGCCAGGCTCAGTGGCTCATGCCTGTAATCCCAGCACTTTGGGAGCCCAAGGCATGTAGATCACCTGAGGTCAGGAGTTTGAGACCAGCCAATATGGTGAAACCCTATCTCTACTAAAAACACAAAACATTAGCCAGGCGTGGTGGCATGCACCTGTAGCCCCAGTTACTCTGGAGGCTGAGGCAGGAGAATTGCTTGAACCCAAGAGGAGGAGGTTGCAGTGAGCCAAGATCATGCCACTGTACTCCAGCTTGGGTGACAAAGTGAGACTCCGTCTCAAAAAAAAAAGAAAAGCTAGGACCGGTGGCTCACGCCTGTAATTCCAGCACTTTTGGAGGCTGAGGCAGGCCGATCATGAGGTCAGGAGGTAGAGACCATCCTAGCTAATATGGTGAAACCTCATCTCTACTAAAAATACAAAAATTAGCTGGATGTGGTAGCATGTGCCTGTAGTCCCAGCTACTCAGGAGGCTGAGGCAGGAGAATTGCCTGAACCTGGGAGGCAGCAGTTGCAGTGAGCTGAGATCACGCCACTGCACTGCACTCCAGCCCAGGTGACAGAATGAGACTCTGTCTTAAAAAAAAAAAAAAAAAAAAAAAAGCCGGGCGCGGTGGCTCAAGCCTGTAATCCCAGCACTTTGGGAGGCCGAGGCGGGTGGATCACGAGGTCAGGAGATCGAGACCATCCTGGTCAACACGGTGAAACCCCGTCTCTACTAAAAATACAAAAAATTAGCTGTGCATGGTGGCGCGTGCCTGTAATCCCAGCTACTCAGGAGGCTGAGGCAGGAGAATTGCCTGAGCCCAGGAGGCGGAGGTTGCGGTGAGCCGAGATCGCGCCATTGCACTCCAGCCTGGGAAACAAGAGCGAAACTCCATCTCAAAAAAAAAAAAAAAAAAAAAAGGGCTGGGCACAGTGGCTTACACCTGTAATCCCAGTACTTTGGTAGGCCGAGGCAGGTGGATTACTTGAGGTCAGGAGTTCAAGACCAGCTTGGGCAACACGGTGAAATCCCATCTCTACTAAATACAAAAAAAAAAAAAAAAAAAAAATTAGCTAGGCATGGTGGCAGGCACCTTTAATCCCAGCTACTTGGGAGGCTGAGGCAGAAGAATTGCTTGAATCTAGGAGGCAGAGGTTGCAGTGAGCTGAGATCACGCCACTGCACTCCAGGCTGGGCAATAGAGTGAGACCCCATCTCAAAAAAAAAAAAAAAAAAATCTCAGCATCATCACTTATTAGTTATGGGACCTTAAGTGACTTATGTCATTACTCCATGCCTCAGTTTTCCCATCTGTGAAAGGGGAACCATGATCATGCCTACCTCATAGGCATATTATGAGGATAAGCTGATAGGTGTAAAGCCCTAGAACCTAGAAAATGCTTAATAAAGACTGGCTGCTATTGTTATTTCCAGGTTGCAATGACAGTATATTATTGGTGGCCATAAAAACAAATATAAAACAGGCTGGCCATGGTCGCTTGTACCTGCAATCCAGCACTTTGGGAGGCTGAGGTAGGTGGATCACCTGAGGTCAGGAGTTCGAGAACAGCCTGGCCAACATCGTGAAATGCCATCTCTACTAATAATACAAAAATAGCTCGTCTATAATCCCAGCTACTCAGGAGGCTGAGGCAGAAGACTCACTTGAACCTAGGAGGCGGAGGTTGTAGTGAGCCGAAATCGTGCCACGGCTCTTCGCCCTGGGTGCCAGGGCGAGACTCTGTCCCTCCCCAAACACACACACACACACACACACACACACACACACACACACACACACACAAAGAAAAACAAAACTAAACGTAAAACAAAAAATAAAAAGGAATAAATTCACAAGACTCACAAGGGGTGCAGAGGGATTTCCTGCATTAATAGGGGACCCTCAGGACTGGCAAACCTTTGCCTACCCATCTTAGCTGGGGTGCCCTTCTCCTCCCATGGCCAGAGGGCCTTTCGTTAGGCACATCACCAGAATGTCACTGAGTCCCCACCACCCCTCTGCTGTCCATGGTGCCAAACAGCTGGGACCTCTGTGGGCTCGCATCGGCGCCATCCTTCCTCATGAGCCTGGCTGGGCCCCTGCTTGGGACCACATGTCCAGGTCTGCTCTTCAGCATGGAGAAGAAATGCTCTCCCCACTCAGGCCACAAGGCTGGGCCCGCAGATCCCTGATATCAGCACACCATGAATGAACAGCAGTACCTCCAGTGACTCCCTCCCTGGCAGGGGCAGTGGCTGCACAACACAAGCTACAGAGCCACAGGGGCCTGGGGACAATTGCCGCCTCCAACCATGCCCTCCTTCATCCTCCCTCCAGGTATTACTGAAAGCTACTGTGGGCCAGACACCAGGCTAGGCCCCAGATACCACAGTGAACAGCACAGAGAAACACTGCTCTCCTGGGGCTCACGTTACAAAGGGGGCCACATGTTGGCTGTGTGGCCCCTGACACCTGACTCAACCTCTCTGAACCTGGATTTCCTCATCTGCCAAGCAAGTAGCAGCATGGCATCCACTTTGCAAGGTATCTGTAGGGAATCCATGAAAGGGGGCGCAAGGTGGAGATGCGAACCTGAAAACTCCTCCACAAGCACCGGCTCTGCATGTGGCCATGTCCTGCTGGGCATGTCTGCAGGGCACTGGCAATGAAGGGTGCCCCTGCCACGTGAAGCCATGGTGGAGCCCCCATGGCCAATCACTGTAGAACACCAGAGAGTACAAGTAGGTGCCTCTGCCCTCGCTGGAGGGGGCTGTGCAGAGTCAACAATCTTTTTTTTATTGAGTCAGGGTCTTGTTCTGTCACTCAGGCTGGAGTGCAGTGACACTAATGGTTCACAGCAGCCTAGACCTCCCAGGCCCAAGCAATCCTCACCTTAGCCTCCCAAAGTGCTAGGACTACAGGCACAACATGTGGCTAATTTTTGTATGTTTTGTAGAGATGGGATCTCACGATGTTGCCTAGGCTGGTCTCAAACTCCTAGGCTGAAGCAGTCCTCCCGCCTTGGCCTCCCAAAGTACTGGGAGTAAGGGCATAAGCCACTGTGCCCTGCTATAGTCGACAGTTTTGTACATCACAGACTCCTTGGGACCTGCACGCAGCAGGCGCTCTGCACAGTAAGTAGTCAGTAAAAGTTGTCAGGCAGAAGGGAAGGGAGAGGGGCCACATCTGCCCTTGGCCACCATGTTCTTCCTGTCCCTGAAGCGGGAGGGTCTTACCCCCACATGGGGGAACGTGTTCTTGGTCAGTCCCACTGTTGCCCACACCCAACCTTGACACAGGTGAGACAGGCACTGCCTCATGGCTTAGAGGATGCCCAGAGAGCTCTGATTCCATTCCCAGCTCCTGCCTCGCCTACAAGATCTGCCTCTAGCCACGCCAGCTGCCTGTGGGTGTTGGCATGAGCATTCCCTCTGCCCTGTCTGCTTCCAGTTGCATGTAAGAGAAACTTCTGCTGAGCTCCCAACTGAACTTGACCTTCGGCACACTGGTCACACACTATCACTTAAAAGGATGTTTTGATTAGTGATGATCTCCCCACCAGACTGAGTTCCATGAGCTATTCCCTGCTCCAGCTCCAGCTCCTAGCATACAGCAGAAGCTCAATGAATGTCTGTTGAACGAATGAACATATGAATGCAAGAGATCAGCTGGATTTGCAAACTCTGGCTCTCCTGGCAGATTCGTGGTAACCAGCATGAACCAACCTCCCCCGCCCCCAGGCCATCCTACCTTCTGGGCACACTTGGCCTCCATCCAGCCCTGTATGTCAGAGTCTTGAAGCCCAACTGCAGAGCCAAACCCTGGCAGGAGCCTTCCTCAGAACAGCTGCACCCACTCCAGGTTCCTCACTGTCCAGGCAACAGCTGGGAGCACCCCCTCACTGGGCCCCTCCGCCATCTCCCCCAATAAGAACAATGACATTTACTGAGTGTCTGCTACACATGAGGCATTTTTCTTTCTCTTTTTAGAGACAG